ATAATTTGCGCGTTTTTTGTTTTCAGTTTTGTTAACGTCGTCGACGGCGCCGCCTCGCAAAAGTTGCTCCTCTCTTCGTCTAGAAAGAGAGAGAAAGCCAAGCCAAAAAAAAAAAAAAAACACCGCTAGCCGCAGTTAGTACGCAATTTTTTGTTGTTTTTCAAGTTTACCTTAATAGCTAAGTTCTAGTGTGCGTGTATTAATTATTTATTTCTGCTTATGACAACGTACAATTTGTCGAACAACAAACACTGCATTTAATTGCGGCAAAGTGACGAGCAAAAGAAAGCTACGAATAGAATTCGAAACGTGAAGTGCAAGGAGTGATTCGTCACGTAGATCGGGATCCTAACCCACAATGTACAGAATACAGATGTGTTTAAAAAAATAGTAGTGGCAATGAACTTCAAACTAGGACCGTTTAAAAATTAACTTTCAGAAATGAACTTCCAATTGGGAATGTAGAGTTTGTTCAAGAAAAGCACAGTCCTAGAAAATTATATTCCTTCGAACGATTGTTTTTTTTTTTATAAATTTAAGAATTGAACCACTTCTATTAGCTTGAACACAGGTGTACCCGTTTGCCTCATACAAAACAGTAGTTACCCATGCAGTTGTTATCTGTGTAAAATTAACGGAAAACTTACCATTAGCCAAGCGTCGGGCGATTTGTTTTCAATTAGCCAAGGAAGTTGGGTTTCAGTCGGCGGGAAAAACCGCAAGAATCTCGCTTAAAAAGCGGAAAATAGTCGGCATATCGATTTTTACTAACTCACTTCTTTACCATTCCGTCTGCCTCATTCATATTTAAAGCAATTCGAACCCGTTGCCTTCTATAGACTCGCAATCCATTACCAATTCCTTCTTTGCCATCTTCTTTGGGATATATTATGCCATCGATTCTTGATATTTTATTATCTTTATGGTTTTTTTGTTGATTGATTATTTTACCTTGCTTCCCTAATTTCTTTGCTTTTTGGGCTGAAGAAAATACAAAAAAAAATGTTGGATTAGGTAATTGTTATATCCAAGAGATAGGCATTCTTATGTAAATACCTACATATATTCCTTAACGACTCTATAAATGAGTACAACCAACCTCAATTTCTCCCTTATAGCATGCATATCTATCGTTTAAATGGGCCTTTATGGTTTCTAAAAAAGCTACCCACGTCACTTAAAGACATTGGAAGGTCCAAAGTACCATTGGATCCCCCAATCGAATGTGGAACGTGCAGGTGACATCTTCTGAGCCATTAGAGCAATGGCAGCGGTACGTGATAACTGGTATTCATATGGGGGTATATACTACCTATATCTGTATGGTAAATGTATGCCGGAGAACCCGAGGATCGGACGTTGCAGAGTGAAACGGCCTAATCAAGTGGCTCAAATTGCCGCACAAATTGAAATAGATAATGGCCCGCAAGTGACAGCGGCGACATAACGACAACGACTACGACTTAGCATACTAGGGATTAGTCATGCGTATCATTCGCCTGATAACTCACAACAGTCCAAACAAAAAAAAACAGATAAAGTTGTCGCAAAACAGGCAAAACACTGACTCGAGAAAGTCATTCCACAGGTGTTTCGGCTAGCTATATCGACTTACCAGTCTAAAGAAAATTAGCATAGCCGTCTAGTTGGATGGGTGATGATTATATATATATATATTATAGAGAAACAATGATGAGCACCAATAAAAAATTCCCTCACGTCGTTGGTTATCCACCATATGATATCATCGCCTAACTTCGGAACAAACTCAAGTCGATTCACTGAATGCAATGCCGAACTTCAATGTCAGTGTCATCCATTGAACAGCGAAAACGATTCGCAGTCGAAACATCTCTATATTTAAGCCAGTGATGGAGCGATCCACCGACATTTCAATGTATAATGCAATAATCACATACGATGCCACAAAGCTTGGCCATTAATCACCTTCTATTTGCACTTCTGATTCGCCTTATTTAAACATGGATCGGTACTTGGGCCCCCAAAATAATAATGCCTTCATTTCTTTAGGCCCTTGGGTAATGGTAGAAAGTTGCCAATTTTAAGTGTACACATAACGGTGATACTTCTGCAAATGGCCAAAGACATTAACCGTGAAATTAGCATTCGATTATGGAAGTCTTTGTCTCTGCCTAGGTTATTTAACCCCCTGATGTAGAACCATAAAGACCCCAATGGAGGGAGCTTTTATGGGTTCTATTTAGAACCTAAGCCAAGGATCTCTGATTGGCTCTTGATGTATTCGGAGTCATAAAGATCTTGATAGGTATAATCAAAACTTTTGCAATAAAATCGTACCATTTAAGATTAGTGGTAATCTAATGATGATGCCACAAATCAATTTGTGGCTATTCTGAGAAAAATAAAATCCGGTTGGACATCCATCTTTACGATGTATAAGGAACGTATGTTTGTTTTACATTTTTCCCTTATTTAAAACCCTTTCCTTGAGATTCCCATTTTCAAAGCCAAAGATATAGCTAACTCGTGAGGCCTCAATGTTGCTGATCGATCAAGTTCACACAACGATAAGTGATCTGAGTTCGCCGAGTTTTAAAGACCTTGTTTCGAAACGAAACGATTTGATAAAAGTCGGGAAATGGGAATCGCCTCGAATCGTTCGTACTTCACGTTATTTGGTATATGGTATATCACTTGTTGTTTGTCTGCTAACTGTAAACTGGGTTACTCGTGTGAGAAGTGGAAATCGATAGAGGGTTACTTAACCATCTCCAATCCAAAACACACGGACCCAACGTGCCAAAGTAAACAGTTCAATTACGTCTGATTGTTCAGCTGCAGTTAGCAGTTGGCAGTTGGCTCTGATTCATCGCTATTCAAATGCTATATATTTAGATAATCGAGAGCTTATATATGGCCATAAATTTAAGCACCTTTATAAAGTTATTTCCAGTTAGAGACGCATATATCCCAGCCATATAATGCCGATAGGCGGCAAAGTGTAAAGTTCACATGCCATCCGAGAGCAATTTAATTTTTTATTTCAATTAGCCAGTTCACAAAGGCCCCCAAAACACTTAACGCTATTAGCCAAGCTCATTATTTTTGGCAACACCACCAAAACCACACAGCCATGTTTATGGAACGTGATGATTTAAGGCAAAAACCAAAATAAAAAAAAAACATTTTTCATCGCCGTCTCATGATAGCCGAGGAATTTTTACTTACTCATGTTTATTTTCAAGGGGAACTTTAGTGACTGACTATAAAAGCCTTTGGGCCAAAGAAAAAAGAAACAGAAACAACGACGTATTGATAACCCAAAACAGGTTAGAAGAGCTGGCAAAACGACTGGGGAAATACCCATTGGATAGACATATGGGATCAATGAAAGCATTATAAGCCTGTTTAAATGAATGATTAACTGGGGAATAATACTACTTATATCGGAGTGAAATGGGACACTCAATTGAAGTACAATTGCCAGAAACAAAAGGCTGCTTTTTATGTCTGGCAAGCTTCAAAATCCCCAAGAGGTATCGATTCTTTTTGGCGAATCGAATGACGACTCCATGTTGAGTTTTATATCTAATTAGGCTGGCTAATAGTTGGGCTAATTAGTCGGGGCTGCTCATTAAAAAGTAAACACAAATCGATTAACCACAGGCAATCACGAATGAAAACAGTACGGTTCATTACCATAATTCCATTGGCTTAGCGATTTTATGCGAATATGCTGACTCATATTAAAGGATTAATAAAGATCGTAGGTTTAAGTTGAAAATAAATTAGAAAACCCTTTAGTAGTAAATATACAAAATTTATATAGTGTATGTATAATACACACTGTATATAAATACTAACGATCAAGTCAAGTGAGTTTAATTCTGAATTTAATTATCGTCATTTAGTGCAAATAAATCTGTTTTATTTGCCGTTCAAAAGGTTATTTACTGAAATGATTCCCCAATCAAGGGAAACTATTCACTTCCTGTGGGAATTAATGGCGATTGACCTTACAGACTCGTAATGTGCTGTATGCCTAATAAAAACGGTATACTAGTATTTGTACAAATCGAAGTACAGGAAAAAAAATAAATAGTCATTATAGTCAAATAATCAAATAGTCAGATCCATCAAGATCTAATATTTTTTGTCAACTTTAAAAAATGAGTAACCGTGCTGTGTGTTATTATTAATATTCATGTTTTTTATCGACAATACAAAACTTATCATCAGAAACTTTTGAATATCATGTTTTTATGTTTTTTTTGTTCGGTGCATAAACAATAGAACAAGTTGGTGCTGCAACAATTGCCCGTAATTTGCATGGTCTTGCACCCACACCATTGCACCACCAAACTATGTCATTAGAATTTACTACTGAGTAAACAGCGGCACGCCCCCCCCCTACCACCCTCTTTTTTTCTATGTGTAGGAATTGCCTTCGCGATTTGCATTGTGTGCAAATGTAACGCACGCGACAAAAAACGCCTGCAAGTCGCGCACTTCTCATTGCCGCCGACGATTTCGATTTTCTTGGGCTTATCGCTAGCTATTTTCCCAGTCTTTGTGTGTAGGTGTAAGCCATTAAACAACTTGGCCGACAATTAAGCACTAAGCCAGGTGAAAAAGGCAAATAGGAACAGGGGGGAAAAAAAAAATAATTGATAAAGCACACACATACACAGTACGTAAAATGTAAATACATCAAGTCGACTCTGAAACATACTTTAGAAATCGAAATTGCCATATATTGTGTTGGTCAGCTAACCTACAGAACTTTATTTCCTTGGGGGGAGGGTATTATGGATGTGTCCCCAACTGGAAGAAACGAGTATGTATGTGTTTTGGTGGCGTTGATAAAAAGCAAATAGTCAAGAGGAAAGCCCACCAGCACCTCCGCCATCCCCTCTATCATACTTATCAGCCAGAAAACCGATAAGACCAAGCGTCTTTTGTAATCGGACCGCTTTTAACGCTTTTCAACTCGCTTTCTTGCCTTTTTCCATTTTCAGATTTCGCAGCGCACAAATCGCACGCCATTTTCTAGCATGCTCTAGGAATATTACGAAACCCGATCGAAATTTTAAGGAAAAGTTAGAACTGCACAAGTTGAGACACGTTTGAAACGGAAGCGGAAACGGAAAAGGAAATTGGTGAAGGTGGTAGAAGCAGAGAACGAGTGAGAGAGAGAGAGGAAAACATTTCAGAAGCCACGCCCACAACATGAGCAGCATGAAGGGCGGCTTCTCCACACTGAATCGCTGGTTTGGCCGAAAAAAGGGTAAGCTATCAATAAACCAATACTTAAAGCACTCAAATGACTCTACCTTTCTAATAAGTCCCTAATTAATTTTATGCTTCATCTACTTTATCATTTATCATCAACAAACTTTATTTCCCACAATCATTACTGCAATAAACCCTTCCTAAATTATCATTTGTAGTGCCAATGGAGATTGGAATAGTAAATATAATAGATGACAAATATAATAAAACATATTTCTGACACTCATTGTTATACATATAATCATATTTTCAGTATAGGGAACCCATAAAATCCGCTGTGCTATAGAAACCATTTCCTAAGTTATTAAGATTCAAGAAACCTTCATATTCCAACAATTAAAACCTCTTCTATGCTTTTTTATTCTCTAGACAAATCCGGCACTGGCAGCTCCTCCATGGGCAAGCTGTCCAAGTCGTCAACACATCTGCACCATTTGTCCACCGACACGGACTTGAACGAGACTAGTCAGCTGGAGTACAACCGAATAACCCCAGTGCCCGCGGCCACCAGCAATGCGCCCTTCGAACAGACATTCCGCATCACCGTCCTGCTGCCCAAGGATCAGCTTTTTGTGGCCCGATTGGGAGCCAGGGTTCCACTGAGCAAGCTCCTTTCGCTCGTCTGCGATAACAAGCAACTGGATGCGGACAAGTATGAGTTCCGGAGTCCAGGTAGGGGGGGGATCTATCATCTTCACAAAGATGGAAGAGGTTTTCACTTGCTATAAGGATTGGAAATTGTCTTGTATAAATACCAACTGTCTAAGAAAGTGAAGCCTATATAATAGTACTTCTATTAACCCAATTTTTCTCACTATTTTTCAGTTGATGCTAGTCAGGTGTACAGTTGCGAATCGACGATCGGAGCCGTGGGTCTTTCGGAGATTAGACTTTGCCACAAGTCGGAGTCCTACGACAACTTCAATCCGGATGTGATGCACAAATTCCAGCGCACCGGAGCCGCTCGAGATTCGTTGAGCAGCAGCTCGGACTTCAGTAGCAGCCGGCACTCAAAGGTTACGGCCAAGACGCCGAGTCCCTACAGTTCGAGCAACTCCCTGAACTCGATGGACTCCACGGGCATGAACTACACCCGTACCCCGGTGGTGGTGCCACCGGCAAAGGTATTGGCACCACCGCCGCGCAAAAAGCGAACGGCTCCCAGACCACCGAGCCAGATTTGCATACCGGAGCAGTCGGTTCCGGATATTCCGGCAGCTAGCTTGAAAAGCGAACCTGCCTATGCGGTGATTGTCAAGCGTCCCCAGCTCTGCATGTCCACGCCAAATTTGTCTGGGCCCATTCCGGAGCTAGACTGCAATGGCAATAGCTCAAAGTCACCGGATGACGACTCCTCGGATGGTCACTATGCCACGCTGGATCTGAAGCCACCGGTTGCTGGTGGTCCGGAACCAACGCCCCGGAAACGTTTGCTGCAGATCAAGAAGAAAACCGCACCGGCTCCACCGCCGGACTTCCAAAGTGGTGGTGATAATATATCGCTGGCTTCACTCCCCGAACCGGTGACGCCTACCCCGAATATTCCGCAACCAGCTCCAAGAATTACCACACCTTTGCCCATTGCACCGGCTGTGAGTCCGCCACTGCCCTTGGTGAATGGAAATGTCAATGGATCACCCAATGGAAATGTGTCCAAAGTCCTTCTGAATAGAACCCCCACCCCGGAGCCCCGATCTTTGGGTAGTGCCACCGAGGATGATGATAACGATGCGGCTTCGAAGCAAGCGGATTCGGGTATTGGAGAGCCAGCACCATCTCCCTCGGCCTCGCCAGAACCAGAACCAGAGGTGGAGGCGGAGAAATCCCAGCAGGAATCGAGTTCCGAGGACGACGAGGCCATCAAGGTGTACAATTTCAAGCTTTGCCAGACCTCCAAGGTGACTGAACCATTGGCCACCAGTTTGGCGGAATTGGCAGTGCTGACAGCCCAAGGAGAAGACGAGGAAGAGGATGAGGTTCTGCACTTGGAACAGAAGGTGACGCAGACCAGCGGAAATATGGCCACGCCCAGTAGCGAGACCTCGCTCACCTCGTGGAACTACTCGGTTCCCATATCGCCACCGCCCGACTTCTCCGATCCGAAGATGCAGAAAGGCAGTGCGGCTCCGGTTGCTGTTCCGGTGAGCCCTGGTTCGCCGCTGGACGAGATCGTGGATGAACTGGCGACCATAATTAATCAACAGCGTCTGGACACGCTGATAAAGAAGCAGCCCGATCCTCGGCTGGCGGAGATTGAGGCGGCCAAGCCGAATCGTTTAGCCAATTTCAGCATAGCTACGGCCAAAACTACGACTAGGATTGGACGAGCCGACTCCTTTCAGGCAGGAGGATCTGGAGCAGAGGCGGAGGTAACCTCACCCGGTGGAACTCTGGGTCTTCGCAGCACCTCCCATGCCTCCCTAAACAAACTAGAGCAGAATGGCCTGGGCCAGAGACGCTCCTCCAGTGAGTTGAGCATCGGTGAATCACCTTCATTGCAGAGCCTGGAGGTGATCAAGACTATCCTGAACTCGAGAAAGAACAGCCTGGCCGAAAGTGGAAGCAGTGCGTCATCGCCCGTTACAGAGCAACCAAAGATCTTCAAGCTGGCCAAAGAAGAGTCATCAGTGGATGGCGTAAGCGCTCCAAAGCAGTCACCCACTCCAATCCGGAAACCGTCTCCGACTCCTGCAGTTGAGAAACCATCATCCCCTGTTCTCAACATTGTTCAGGAATCTCATCCGGTCCTGAAGCAATCACCGACTCCAATTCAAAAGCAGCTGCCTTCTTCAGTTGAGAAGACATCGTTACCTCCTGTGGTAAAATCAGTACAGGAGTCGGTGACTCCTATGGTTCCGAAGGAGAAACAATCCCCGCCAGTGGCCAAGAAGGAGGCACCTGTTCCAGCTCCAAAGCCATCTCCCCCGGCTGTTAACAAGGTTCCAGAGCCGTCTCCGCCAGTTCAAAAACTGCTGGTCTCGCCAACTGTTCAAGCGGTCAAAGAGAAGGAACCCCCAATGTCGGAGAGCTCCCAGGGCACCATAACACCTCAGAACTCCCCAGCCACACCAGTCACACCAGTCAGTCCTGTTAACCTGAGAAACCCGAACAATAGCACCATGGTAGTCCAACCAAGTCAGCAGATTGAATCCGCTCCGAGCTCCAAGCCCCTGCCACCCACATATCGCTATTCGGGGCCACCCAGCATTAACTTCGCAACCTGGAGCGAACGGCCCAAGTCCACGGTGGCCATTAAGAACGAGGGAGACTACATCTTCGGCGGGGCAGGAAAGTCCCAAGGGGTGACCTCGCCGCCTGCCAAGCTCACTATCGAAGTGGCTTCACCCATTTTGAGGATGGGCATTCCCCAGAGACGGGAATACCACGTTCCCATTACGGTTAAGCCACTAAAAGATGTGAGTCAGGATAACCATCAAGAGGAAAAGGCCATCGTGCAGGAGGTGGAAGATCAGCAAGTCGATGAGGAAACCTTTTCGGTTCAAGTTAAGCTCAAGCCGCAGCCAAAACCTGCGGAGAAGCCACTGGTTCACAACCAACTCCCAAATCCCATCCAGAACCAATCCTCTACATTGCCGCGTCCAGCCAAAAGCAATAGATTCACTCTACCCGCCAGCCAAAACAGCAGTCAGGTGGTTTCCAACTTGGCCAGCAACTCCCTGCCACGCCCCGTTTCCAGTTTGGAGAGGAACAGACCAATGGAAGCCAATCCGGCTCCGGCTCCCTTTGGTCAGAATACCCTACGCCGCACGGGATTCAAGGAGCGTATGTTGGCCAGGGAGCAGCAGGAACAGGAGCAGGCCTTGAGGATTAGGGTGTCCGTAAATGGATTTGGAAACACTTCATCTCCAGCTGCCACTGCTGCAGGCGCTGCCACGCGCACATCCCTGCCAGAAAGGAAGCCAGAACCGCCGGCAAAGAATGTGAATGTGGTTTTGAAGTCCACCAAAGTGGAGCTGAAGCTCCAGGAGCCGGAGCCCAGGCCGGTGAGCCTACAGGTCAAGCTGAAGCCCACATCCCAGCCAGCGGCCACGCCCTCACCGCCACCACCACCCCCGACACAAATGCTTCCGACCCTAAAGCCCGTGAAATCCAATGGAGGACGCAGCAGTGGTCCCACATCGCCGGATCCGCGTTCCCAGCTTTTGGACGCGATAAGGAATTTCAAACGAGAGGAGCTCAACCGATCCTGAGTTTTCGAAAACATAAACACTAGATAAATAATATCAGGCACAAAATCACAAAAGCAGCGCACAAGTTATATATTTTTTAAACCGTTAACAGTAAATTTTGTGTTGAGTTTGTAAATAATTCCGAAAAAAAACGCCAAGATTTAGTAGAACTTTTTTTCACCCCATCCCCGCGCTTTTAAAGCGCCTAATATCCCCAAATTTTTTTTAACTAATCTTAGTTTTTTGTTATGAACTATGTAGATTTTTAATAATTTGTTTTAGTCATTAGGTCACAAGAGAACCCAAAAAAAAAAAGAAAATACAACAACAAGATAAAAAGATACAAGAAAAGCGAAAAATCTATCTATTTACATGTATGTTATTATGCCTATATAATATTTCGTATGTCATAGTGAAATATAGTAACCAATTTTCTAACCAATGGGACTGGTCTACTTAGTCGTGTCAAATAAAACAAAAATCAAATGGTAGCGAAACAAAAAGAAACAACCCCAAAAACAGAGAGTTAATAATGCTAATAAATTATTTTAAAGCAACAGCAGTTAATGCATTTAGCGCTGATGTATATACTTATATATGGCATTGTATTAAACTGAATAAAATAAAATACAGACATTAAAAAAGGTCTGTTTATACTTTTGCATTTGGCGGCTCAAAAGGTAATGCGGCACTTATCGTATCACCAATCTTTACACTAATTCTATAAATATTTGTTTGCAACTTTGAAATCAGTCACTTCAGGCCTGATAAGATAATACATATTTTGATATAGCAATTAACACAAGTTCATACTACGCATTTTTCTTTCAACCAAATAAGTCAATGTACTAGAAGTACATAATTTAATTATTTGCCATTTTTACAACGTAGATTCCTTTTACGATTTTAAGGACTTCTTATTGCGGGAATTTTAGGTAGCTAAAAATACTATTTTAGCTATTGAAAATTGATATTAAAAATAGCTATAGTCTGACTTGAACGTCTTTCTTTTATGAACTTATATGAGTACTTATACTTTTAAGCACATACCTCTTAGCATTGGCGTTTGAATTTCCCGCTCTTAACTGCAGCGTGCTCTGTTAAGCCGTAACCTCTTAACATTGCCGTTTGAATTTCCCGCTCTTAATAGCAGCGTGCTCTGTTAAGCCGTAACATCGATAGTTGTGCTGTAAGCGCACCATATGATTTCTTCTGCGGTATGGCAACACTGTTAGCCAAATAGAAAATTGTATAATTTAGTTTGTTGTTTTTCTTTGATTTCTATGAATTAAATATATTGAGAAAAGGCAAATACCTGCGAATAATGGCGCTGAGCATCGTGAAGACCTTGAGGCCGATGGCCCAGCCACTGGCAACGACCTTGGGCGGCCTGCAGCGGCAGGAGTTGATTCACACGACGCCGGCGTGCTTCGAAATCCGGAAATTGGCCCGGTTACGAGTGGTGGACAACAGCGATTTGGGCAAGAAGGCGATGGCCGAGGGACGGCCGCCCAGATGCATCCATGTGTACAACAAGCGCGGCGTGGGCCTCATCGGCGACAAGGTCCTGGTGGCAATCAAGGGGCAGATGAAGAAGGGCATCCTGGTGGGCCTCAAGCAGAACCAGAAGCCCAAACAGCCCAAGTTCGACAGCAACAACCTGGTCCTCATTGACGACAATGGCACTCCTTTGGGCACCCGGATACACGTGCCCATTCCCACCATCCTGCGCACCATCCTCAAGGAGAAGACACTGGCCAAGGGAGCCGACTACACTAAGGTTCTGGCCATCGCCAGTAGATATGTTTAAGTCATGTTGGATCCCGGGATCCCGCCTTCCTGTTGCTAAATGAATAAAATGTATCCAACCGAATCAGTACGTCTGGTTTTTTCCTACAATGTTCTTTAAAACTTCTTGAAAGAATGCTTAAGTTTCTTAAATATACTATAGTCTCTTTTTTTCACAAGTATAAATCATTTTAAAACTGCACTTTCTGTTCATCCTGTTTCATTGAGCCATGATCTTAATCGCATCATAATTAAAACTGAATAATTAAAAAGCACTTCAAAGAAAACTTATGAAAAAGATAGTAAAAGTTCCTTAAATAATAAATACCTTTCAATTTCTTTGATAATAAATTATTTTGAAAGAAAACGATGCCTTTTAAACATTCTATCCTTCCTTTTCATAAAAATAAATTAAACTAAAAAATTCAACAATACCTTAAAGATCCTATTTTAAACCAATAAACATAACAACTAAAGAGTTTGTCTTAAATAACCAATATAGACACCTAAATGTATACCTGAATTTATTTTCTAATTGTATAATGAAAGGCTTTATTTTGATACCTTTTAATTCGCCACATCCATCAGCTTTTTCACTCCACTCCAACTCCAGAGACAACATCCTCATTCTTTTTGTAGTATAAGTATAATGTGTATAATGTAATTACGATCAGCTAGTTTAGTTTAGTTTAGTTTCAGTAGTTTTGCCTAACGTATATAAGTTATGATGCAGTTATGTACACATGGGCGTTGCAGTTTAGTTTACAGTTTTGTAGTCGTTTTGTGGTAACAGAAATGCACCTTGTCAGTTCCAAGGAAAGCAGCAATTTTCGCTCCTTAGGTCGGCAGCCAACCACCACCCATCTCTTTCACTTTGGTGGGCAGCCAAAGCCGTCCCATTCGCAAATCGCTTATGTACAGAGGGACAAAAACCGAAAATACATATGTATAGAAATAGGATCACTTTGATCACGCAAGGGTTTAAGTACAGGTACAGGCGGCTTTCTAAATATTCCCAGCACTGCCGAAGAACTGAAAGTTGTTAAAGTTCACCGGCGTCTTTGGGCTGGGCAGATACAGAAACTCATCGTTCTGCAGCTGCGATTGCGTCAAGTTCGGTTCACTGGCACTGCGATGGATTTTGGGCAAGGTGCGCAGCATATTCTCCAACATATTGAGCAGCGGCCTAAAGAGTGGTCGGTCCTTGGGCGTATACTTGATGCAATCCTCGGCCAAGCGCTTCAATGCCTGCGGTGCATCCGAACGCACTTGACTCATGTCCGGGCGTAAGAGTCCACGTCCAACCATAAAAAGGATCTGATCCTTGTTGTTAATATGACCGTATGGCAGGCACTCTGCCAGCAGTTCGTACATCACGATCCCAAAGGCGTAAACGTCCGATTGAAAGGAGTAGGGATTCAGTTCCTGCATGCGAATGACCTCCGGAGCCATCCATAAAATACTGCCCGTAGGCTGGTTGGCCTGTTTCTCACCAGACCATCGAGTTTTCGCCGTTGCCAGTCCGAAATCTCCAATCTTCACTGAGAGATCCTCGTGCAAAAAGATATTGTTCGATTTGAGGTCTCTGGTAGGTGTAAAATATAGGTTATTATCAAGATGCGGAACTCATTAATTTCCCACAACCCACCTGTGTATGATGTTCTTGGCATGCAGGTAATCCATGCCCTGGGCAACCTGGCGACCAATATCGATGAGCGTGTTTAACTTAAACTTGGTTTCGCTGACATGGACGTGCTTGTAGAGACTACTGCCCTCGCACCATTGCGTTACAATCGCCAAAGATGGCTTGGACACACAGCCCATGAAGAGCAGAATGTTGCAGTGGCGCGTCTTCTTAAGCATGGCCACCTCGTTCTTGAAGGCCTGCAACTGGGCAGGACTCGGGGTCTTCACGTTGAGCGTCTTTACGGCCACGGGTCCGTGCCAGTGGGCGCGGTAAACGGTTCCAAAGGATCCCGATCCAATTCGAGGTCCAATCAAAATCTCCTCCGCCTGGATATTCTGCGAATGAAAATTATTATGAAGCTAATGACGACAGGTAGCAGTGATAAACCATCTTACCCAATTCTCCTCGGAGCTCTTGCCGTCCCTTGAAAGCAGATTCTTGTTACTCTCATCGGCGGATCTTGCCCTGGGGCGATTATGCTTTAGTGTGCTGGTGGGCGATGCCTGTGTGGAGTTCGAGTGATCCGTGCAGGGATACTGTAAGAAACCACACCACATGTAAGACCATCAGATAAGTCGTAAGCGACATAGAATCACCGAACTCACCGGCAATGGAGGCCTGGCCTGCATGATCAAACTGCGCTGTACCTCGCTAGTTACCGATCGAATGTTGTTGATACACACATTTGGAGCGGAATTGGATCGATCATCCTGGCTGATCCTGGGCGGACGACCCTGTCGATGGTTTCCAGAGGACGACGATGGTGGCTTGGAGCTACTGCTGCTGCCACTGCTGCTGCATCGGCGACTGCGACTTCGGGTGCCGCCTATGTTGAACCGGACAGCAGTGCCTCTGCCGGGGAAACCGACGCCAGTTTCCGGATTCTCTGCTAGGAGTAGCTGATAGTAGCTATCCATGGGAAAGGGCTGGCACAGCATGGGAACTCTGTTGGCGCACCGCTGATGGAATCGGAAATTACACTGGCTACAGTAGAATCCGGTGAACAAAAGCCTGCGACAGCCCTCGCAAAACACAAGCGAGAAGAAGGTCTTCCTTATGATTTGGTGCTTGATGTGTGTCCTAATGGGAAACTTGTCCAGAAGCCTCACAAATATCTCCTCCACGTGCAGAGTGCCAATGTCCGTTTGCCAGGGTATGATATGTCTACCGGAATGAGTTGTGCTCACTTCGCACATATCCGGCGTTAACTGCCGGAGTTTCAGGGCCTTCATGAGGGCATCACACAGTCGAACTCCCGAAATGACCTCCACTGAAGTGCGCTGTTGATTGGGCAGGTGGGCTCTCAAGAGGATCTTCGGCTGGCGGGTCAAAGTACCGCACTGGCTGCCCGGCTGGGAGCCCAAGCTGTCCGTAAGATCATTGCCATGATGGACTCGAGCCAGTTGCCGCTGTTGTTGCAGGATTTGGGTTTGATTTTGATAGTGCGGCTGCTCCTTAAAACGCTCAACCAAGGAGACGTCCTCCTGCTGGTCCTGGGAGTTCAGTCGCTCCATGAGCTCTTGCTCCTTGGCCTCCAGTTCATGGAGCTTGGAGGTCAACTCCTGATATTCTGTGGAAGAAGAGATTATGTGTTTTGTATTCTGTGTGGGATTTCCCGGGGTCCAAGAGGACTTACCCATTAAGTACATGGCTGGTGGCTCCTGCAGATTGGCAAACTTGGCGTTCAGGGCATCGATGTTCTCCCGGGTCACATGCTTAACCAACTGGACATTGTGGAGCTCCTCGGCCAGTGGATCGTATAGATCACTGTCGCCTTCGGTGGAGGATTCGCTGGACATGATGTTGCTTTGCGGCTATATCCTATATGATATACGCTCTACGCTATATCCTACGGCCTGTGACCATGACCCCGAAAACGAAGAAGCCTTGACTTCTTGAAGGAAAAAACTCCTGCGCTTGCGTTTTAGTGGAGTTCTAATGGGTGAGCCACCCACATCCACTTCTGTGGGCGGGGGGCAGCATTGCGTCCTTGACTTTTTCGACGGTCGACTTTTCCGGCTTGCAATATTTTAACTAAATGCTCGTTTTTCACTGATTTTTTTTTTGGCTTGTGTTTCCTTTCCAACCTTTTTTCCAGTGCTCCCACACACTTGCAGGCGCACATACATGCACGCACACAGAACGCACCTTGTATATATATGGGTTTGTGTGTATAATGAAGGTCAGTGTGTGCAAAAGCAGCTGAACTTGAGGATTTTCCAAAGGATTTTCAGGGCTGTCAATTTTCCGATAACATCCCGTCCAGCCGGCTCCTCCGATTTCCGATGGCTGCCCGACTATCGCCAATGGTATCGCAGCTTTAATTTCACTTTCAATTTTAGCACACAACTTTTGGATCCAGTTACCATGTTTCAATGCAGACGCATATTTTCGCAAACATGACACGTAAACTTATAAGCCAATAACAATTAAGGGTTGTACTTTTTAATAAACCAAATATAAATCATGAACCTCTAATCCGCAACAGTAAACAGTGTTGTTTCCTAAATTTACTTAATTAAAACCTGAATGTGCTAGCGATGGACCACGAACTGATAGTCGTGACTTCTCCGCCGCGACTGATAACCAAAACAGAGGCCGAAACATATCGTTATCGATGAGTGTCGATACTTTCTCGGTTCGCCGTTGGCCCGACAGATGGCGTAGGCAATTTAAACGGTGCAGTACCAACAAACCGACAACAGGGGGCGCCTTGCGAAATTTAAATTTATTTAAGACTTGTTTACGTTTCACTATTAATAATAACTAAAAAAACTAAAATTCAGTGAGTTAGTATATAACAAAAAACAAACATTTTATTTACATCTTTATTTGTGGACAATTTTAAGCGAAATAAATAATTTCTCTGCTCCTGAAATCGAAAATGAGGAACCCTTGGAATTTGTTTCTTTTTATTCAATCATTTCTATATCATTTCTGTAAATTTGAAAACCTTTTCCTAACTTAACAAAATTGTATGTGTATTATTTAAAGCGGACCTTTGTTATTTTTTATAAAACAAAAAAAAAACTATAAAGCATACAAAAAGCTAATAAACATGGTAAATATATTCGAGTGACGTTGCGTATTTCTTGTGGCAAATACCTGCAGACCTGCCAATGTAACACTTATACTTATGATGGTCCTTTCTCATCTCGGTTTCACCTTCAGTCTTCGGTTCAGGACCAAATCGCGAACAATCCACCGGCGGTTGGACATCAAGTTCCCGCCCCCAGGAGGAGGTTCACCCATCCACCTCAAGTAGTGGGTATGTTCGAAGGAACGCAATACGTCGACGACCCGAGGTTCGTACCCTGGAGTCCCCGCACCGTGAGAGAGATTCGAGGTGGGTCTAAAATAATATCCCTCAAAGGGCAGCACAAATGGTATACATACATGAGATATTTGTACACTTTCCTTAGAACCAATTTAGAATCTTTGATAAAATAATTTATTCGAAATTTAATTACGAGCTCAACGAGGTATCACATTCTATGTTCTGACCTCATTTGGCAATTTGTGGACCAAAATACTGTTTTTTTGTTTTGATCAAAAATAGGGAATATTATTTTTTGACGAAAAATACGTTATTTTTAAGCCGTTTTTAAGTCGTAATTTAGTCAAATCGCGGCGCACAAAAAAGAGACCGACTGTTATGAGCAGCTAACAACAAAGGCTATCGATCCCCACAACTTTTTGGGAAATTCATTTTTTGATTAATTTTTGCATTTTTTCTAAGGGGTTGTATCATCTGTTCTTTTCGAAAAATTTTCAAAAAATTAAATTTTTTCAGATTTAAATGCCAATTGATAGGGAATTCAATTACGAGCTCAACGAGGTATCACATTCGTAATTCTGACCTCATTTGGCAATTTGCCGACCAAAATACTGATTTTTTTTGCTCAAAAATAGGGGACATCATTTTTTGACGAAATATACGTTATTTTTTAGTCGTTTTTAAGCCGTAATTTAGTCAAATCGCGGCGCACAAAAAAGAGACCAACTGTTATGAGCAGCTAACAACCAAGGCTATCGATCCCCACCACTTTTTGGGAAATTTATTTTTTGATCAATTTTTGCTTTTTTTGTAATCATCTTTTTTTCTAAAAATTTTCAAAAAAATTAATTTTTCAGATTTAAATGCCAATCGATAGGGAATTCAATTGCGAGCTCAACGAGGTATCACATTCGTAATTCTGACCTCATTTGGCAATTTGTCGAGCAAAATACTGCTTTTTTTGCTCAAAAATTGGAAATATTATTTTTTGACGAAAAATACGTTATTTTTAAGCCGTTTTTATGTCGTAATTTAGTAAAATCGCGGCGCACAAAAAAGAGACCGACTGTAATGAGCAGCTAACAACAAAGGCTCTCGATCCTTACCACTTTTTGTGAAATTAATTTTTTGATCAATTTTTGCATTTTTTGTAAGGGTTTGTATCATCTATTTTTTCGAAAATGTTTCAAAAATTAAAGTTTTTTAATTTTAAATGCCAATCGATTCGAAATTTTATTACGAGCTCAACGAGGTATCACATTCCATGTTCTGACCTCATTTGGCAATTTGTCGACCAAAATACTGCTTTTTTTTTGCTCAAAAATAGGGAATATTATTTTTTGACTAAAAATACGTTATTTTTAAGCTGTTTTTATGTCGTAATTTAGCCAAATCGGGGCGCACAACAAAAGGACCGACTGTTATGAGCAGCTAACAACCAAGGCTATCGATCCCCACCACTTTTTGGGAAACTTATTTTTTGATCAATTTTTGCATTTTTTGTAAGGGTTTGTATCATCTATTTTTTCGAAAATGTTTCAAAAATTAAAGTTTTTTAATTTTAAATGCCAATCGATTCGAAATTTTATTACGAGCTCAACGAGGTATCACATGTTCTGACCTCATTTGGCAATTTGTCGACCAAAATACTGCTTTTTTTTGCTCAAAAATAGGGAATATTATTTTTTGACTAAAAATACGTTATTTTTAAGCTGTTTTTATGTCGTAATTTAGCCAAATCGGGGCGAACAACAAAAGGACCGACTGTTATGAGCAGCTAACAACCAAGGCTATCGATCCCCACCACTTTTTGGGAAACTTATTTTTTGATCAATTTTTGCATTTTTTGTAAGGGTTTGTATCATCTATTTTTTCGAAAATGTTTCAAAAATTAAAGTTTTTTAATTTTAAATGCCAATCGATTCGAAATTTTATTACGAGCTCAACGAGGTATCACATGTTCTGACCTCATTTGGCAATTTGTCGACCAAAATACTGCTTTTTTTTGCTCAAAAATAGGGAATATTATTTTTTGACTAAAAATACGTTATTTTTAAGCTGTTTTTATGTCGTAATTTAGCCAAATCGGGGCGAACAACAAAAGGACCGACTGTTATGAGCAGCTAACAACCAAGGCTATCGATCCCCACCACTTTTTGTGAAATTAATTTTTTGATCAATTTTTGCATTTTTTGTAAGGGGTTGTATCATCTTTTTTTTCGAAAAATTTTCAAAAAATTAAATTTTTCAGATTTAAATGGCAATCGATAGGGAATTCAATTACGAGCTCAACGAGGTATTACATTCGTAATTCGGACATCATTTGGCAATTTGTCGTCCAAAATACTGCTTTTTTTTGCTCAAAAATAGGGGATATCATTTTTTGACGAAAAATACGTTATTTTTTAGTCGTTTTTAAGTCGTAATTTAGTCAAATCGCGGCGCACAAAAACGAGACCGACTGTTATGAGCAGCTAACAACCAAGGCTATCGATCCATATCACAAATCGGGAATTTTATTTTTTGACCCATTTTCTCACTTTTTTTCAAGGGTTGTATCACCTTTTTTTCGAAAAATTTTCAAAAAATTAAATTTTTTCAGATTTAAATGCCAATTGATAGGGAATTCAATTACGAGCTCAACGAGGTATCACATTCGTAATTCTGACCTCATTTGGCAATTTGTCGACCAAAATACTGATTTTTTTTACTCAAAAATAGGGGACATCATTTTTTGACGAAATATACGTTATTTTTTAGTCGTTTTTAAGTCGTAATTTAGTCAAATCGCGGCGCACAAAAAAGAGACCGACTGTTATGAGCAGCTAACAACCAAGGCTATCGATCCCCACCACTTTTTGGAAAATTTATTTTTTGATCAATTTTTGCATTTATTGTAAGGGGTTGTTCATCTTTTTTTTCGAAAAATTTTCAAAAATTTAAGTTTTTAGATTTAAATGCCAATCGATTCGAAATTTAATTACGAGCTTAACGAGGTACCACATTCCTTTTACAAATGTCGGCATATTGTTCTTAGTTTTTTATTTTCATTTAAAGTTGGCATTGATTTTAAAGCCTTACCATTTTTCACATTTCAGTTGACCCAAGTCGAACGAGAAGTACACAGCTCGATTTAAATTTTAAATATTCAGGTTTTTGTGTTCCCATTTCAACAGTAGAAAAAAGCGTCAAAATCAACCACATGCCTTGTAAGGCTAATACAAAATTATACATTTTTAAAAATTTTCATGATCACTAAACATTTCGTTTTTCCACCTAGATATTAGCGAGGAAGTGACAAGATTCTTGGAGCGCCGTTTGCGTGATGAGGTGGCAAATAGGAATCGTTTAGCAGCTGAGCGTTTGGGAAGAGAGGCGGCGTGTCCTTCGAGAAGGAGCCCCCACACAATGCCGCGTTCTGGAGCCGATGAGACTCAAGAGACTCAGCCGTTTCTATTTCTGGCCTTGGAGGCTTTCAAAAAGGAGCAGAAAAGACTGGAAGGCCAGCGGGATTCGTCTAAGGAGGGAACTTCGGAACCAGGCGCCGATGTTAAAGTCAGTCCATCGGAATTTGTGGCCGAATACTTGGCCCAGAACATGAGCAGCGCAGACTTCCACGACGGAAATAAGCCACGCTATGGCCCCTCAGCCGGAAATAGGAATCCGCATCGCCGACCAAGGAGGAACCCTTAAGACGGCATATATGTCTGGCCCCCATTTGATATAATATCCGTAAGAATCGTGTTGCATACTCTCCAGAAATTGGTGCTTTGGAAATCTCTCTTGGAATGATATCGACCCTAAACCGTTTGATTTAAACTGTAAACAACATGAAATCCAAGTAAATCCAAAATTATAACTACCATATTTTGTACCAAAATGAGATAGTTGTATATGGGGTTAATCATCATTAGGTTAGGATCTCTGATCCCTGATAAGAATGTCAAAAGATAAGTACATTTAGAAAGTAATCAAGATTTCAGTGGGTTGTAAAAGTCAGCCCCTAATGATTTCCCATAACGATTGTAAAATAGCGGCCACGTGGGAAATCAAACAGATTGCAAGATTGAAAGATTGGAACCAGGTCACTCTGTGATACCCTTGTGCTCCTTCTTTCCCCGTGAAGCGCCAAGATTCCATAGAATACTTAAAATACTGCTCTTATCTCTAATCGAAAGCAAATCAGCTTTAATTGTTATTGCGACTATTTGTAAAATTGTTTACAATCTGAATTCGCATAATTATATAAAATATGCATGGCAAACAGTGCGTTTCGAAATGACAAGATCGTGGGAGTAGATAGCAGCCAAGAATTGTTTTTTATTTATTAACTATGAATCGTACTGTCCACCAGAATTGATGTCAATATACATATATGTATGTATGTACCAATAGATTGTTTTCAATTATATATGTATATGTTCACGTTTTGCTTTTTGGTCAATGATTAATTGATGAAAATGATAGAAATGCGGTTAATGATTTATTTTGAAATCACACTCCTAATCGCACGAGTACTTATTCATAATACTTGCGTGTAAATATTATATATATACGTAGGACACACGAGTATATATATGTATATAAATGTAATGTGTAGAGTAAGTCTGGCATATAGTGAACTCGATTCTGTTTACAAGTTGGGACCACGCGCCGTTTAAGTGATTCGCTGGCTTCTGTTTCATGGGAAATGGAAATTGAAAGGCTCGGGGTGAAAGTTCATTGGGACACACACACACTTTTTTCGTGGGTGCAATGTCCCCCGGTTTATCGGGTTATTCGGGGTCTTCGGGGTATTTAGGAGGGGCTCTCAAGGTCACCAGCCGGCCAGACGGATGGCAGACATTTCCCCAACTCCCTATTTCCGATTCCCGGATTCCCAACCCCCGCAGATTACGAATACGAAGACGGTTACGGAGTCGGAGTCGGAGTCGGAGAGTCCGGGAAAACAGATTAGAGATGGGTTTTGTGGGTCAGTGGTTCCTATTTCATTGACGGTTGAACTAAAATCAAATCAACCTTGAAATGCCGAGTAAACAAACAGTTTCTGCTTATAGTAATAGTAATAGTATTGAATTGAATTCATTCTTCGAATTTATAGTAAATGATTCTTAAGTACTATTTTGTTTTTGGTAATTACAATTTCTAGAAAAATAAAATTAAATAAATATTTTGAATATTCTTAAACTATTTTAATCTTTTCTTGTTAAAGCATTAAGTTGAAAGTACTATCACATGGGGTAATTTCACTTAGAGCGTTAAATTTAGAAATTGGTTCCATGGATTAATTTAAAGAACTCAGTTTATTTGAAGTCCCAAGTTGATTGTCCAATTTTTGATGTTCACTGAGTTCAAGGTCTTTTGTTTTTTGGCGGGTTGAGTTCCAATTCAGCACTCGTTGGCGTTTTGTGGGCCAGACGTTGACCTTGAGGACTTTTAACCGATTGCAGTTCATTGGCAGCTGTGAAACAGCACCCACCGCCCACAAAAGTGAAGGCAAAAGAAAAGAAAAAATACTCAAAAAAAAAGTGTGTCTATGCCCGCTGGTGGCTGCTTCTCTCGATTGTTGCTCTTTGCTCTTCATTTCCACCGCTCAACCACCCAACCACCCACATCACCACCCATCCACCCACACTCAAACACCTCCAATTTCTGTTGTTGCTTTTTTTGGGGTCGTTGGCGACAGTTTATTGACATCGGGCGATAATTTCGTGAGCTGTTTTTTTCACAACGCCTCGTGAGTAAAAAATACAAGAATCTTGAGTATTTAAATGAGAATTAAAATGGAAAACAAATATGCAAAGGTGTGTTCACAAATTATAAAGAGTTTATTTAGAACGTGTTCATAAATATCACATTCCCTCTTCAAGACTTATAGACCTTTTGATGGTAATAAAGATATCATTTTTAATGATTATTATTATTATATTAATATTATATTATGGAAATAGTTTCTGAAGCACTTGTATTAAGCGGAAAACTTTAATAGCCTAACCATAAAATATTGAAATCAAAACTAATGCTGAAGAATTTGTTTGGTTTTATAGAATATACGATTTTAAGGAATTTCCATTACGAGCTAGTTCGATGGAACTTGCAACTTAATTGCAAAGTTCAATTCGCTAGAATGGGAATTTGATTTGTTATTGTTTTTGTTGTTGTTGTTTCTGTTGCTTATACATTACGATTGCAGACTGTTGTCGCCGATGTCTAGGCTTTTGGTATCAACAACAAACCTCATCCACGCTTCTGGGTCAATAATCTGCGTCTGAGCTACAGCTTCGTGCTCTGAGCTATAGATATAGATTCGCGATGTCTTGTTGTTGGCGCCCGATTGCCGCAAATGTCAATCAATGAAGATCCAATTTTAGCACAAGTAAACAATATTCGCTCGATCGCCTCCTGGCAACCCCTCACCCCCCCTGAGGGGGGGGGGGGGGAGTTCTTTAGTGGGAGGGAGATCTGTGGCGCCTCCCACTCGCCGCTTATCTCAACCTTTGGCTAGAGGAAAAAAACCAAGAGCCCACTCTTGCTTTCCCAGCATTTTAAATCGATCTATCGAAAATATCGATCACCTGTCTTTAACCCTTTACTAATTCGTCATCGATAAATTAAAGCACAATGAACGCTAACCAGAAGATAGCTACCTTATTATTATTACCTAAAGGATTTTGCAATCTTTAAAACAATCTTACAGAGTTGTCGAATAGTTTTAGTTAGCACTTCCCTTTGGTTTTCCCCTAATTCATAATCTTTAACATCTCAAAGCACAATATATTATTATACAAATATTATTCACCCATCGGTTATCGATCCGATCCTACTTGATTCGTTGACCCTGACGTGGCATGCCTCCCGTGTGGATCTTCCCACCTTGGACTCTGCCCCGCATTGCGTATTGCTCATGGCGCTCAGATCAGATCCCGATCCAATCCCTCCAATCCAATTCATCCATCCAACGACGGGCCGCCCATTTTCAATCGCCGCCTTCGTTAGTCTCTCCCAAAACAACAGATGGTATACCTACACGGAGAGAAAATAGCAACCAAAACTTGATTATCACCAACCAGGTTTGCCATGAAATGATTTGGTAAGTATTAACTGTTATACCCAGTTTTTCTATAAAATTCGTATGACTCCTAGAAAAATCAAAGGATTAATAATCGATTTTGGGGAATATAATCTATCTACTTATCAACGCACAACGAAATCCACTAATTACTAATTATTTAATAAAAATTTGGATACTTGGATAATATTTTTCTGAGTATGTACAAGCCTTCGCTTATCGCGCCCGATGACTTGGCACGTAGGGCCCCATTCTTCGCTCCCTCTCTATCTCGATTTCTCTCTATGTTGTTTTCCTCAGCGGAGAGCCAAGATTAATGCTAAAAATAGGGATATTTTATTTTGAATCGAAACTAGATCACGACGAATTCACGTTGCCGTTGTTTACGGTTTTTTCACTGACTGACGGAACGGACGGACGGACGGCGTAACGCCCCACCCCCCATTGATTAACGCCCACCGACCGACCCGTACCACCCCCTTTTGGGCTGCCCCATTGGCTTCCGTTCTTGTTCTTCATCGGCTGCACTCGAAGTCGCAGTTCCAGCAACAAAAACATCAACAACCTTATCGCCGAAACATTATCTATAAGCCAAGCCAAGCCCAAGACCCCGTGTATATAGGGTATATCTGGTCGTATATGGGGTATTTTCAGAGTTTCCAAGAACAGATCTCAAATGGTTCCATTTTATATTGATCAAGTTATTTATTTATTTTGTTCAATTGATTGGTAACCGCATTTATCACAGTTATCCCTCAATTTCAACCTGTCATTTTACAAATACAAACGATTTAACCAATATTATTATAACCAATTGAACACTTACAGTTCAGTTAACAATAATCAATTGTAGTTGGTGAAATTGGTGCCAAGGGGTTACGGAAATACCATGGCACACATGTATATATGTATGAACATAAATAAATATACAAGCCCATAATAATATAGTTTAGAGTCATCTAAACGGCTGAACTTTGACGCTTTGACGAAGCGTTACCGTTAATAAGGAAAATGAAAATCAACAAGTGCATGTATAGAGCGTGGATTGGATGCTGCTTTTCCACTGATGGATTCACTCTATTTATTGTTGTTGTGCTTTTTGTTGCTGTGTGCATTTGTCACTCACACACAGATACACGCACATCCACACATGCGAGGTTCGTGTGTACTTTGTTCAAAGGCGATCTTATTAATATGATTATTCCATTGTATGGTTATACAGTCCGACTTTCCTAACCCAAACTATCTTTCTAAAATACATTTTTGAAGTTGAATACGAAGTTTTCTAGTACCTTTACTAAAACTATATTTTTGGGTACCAATTCTTCGACGAAATGTGTAACGGCAGAAATATGTTGAATATACTTACTTATAATGTGAATTTCCGATATGACTCACAGCCGGATAACTAAATTATGCGATAACGAAATTGTTCATTTTCGCAAACGCAGCGTCATGTCAAAAAACCAATGCGAAATTGTAATGGAGAACGGAAACCAGGCTTAGTAATGGTGATATAGGGAACTTTAAATTGGTCTACATATGCCCAATGGACATTTTCCATACATATAATAATTACATATATTACCACTCTGAATTTGGATATAATGAAAATGAAAAATCAATTTAAATGTGTCACTTTGTGTGACATGTCCTCGGAACTCCCGAGCAACTTGACCCATAAAAGTTCAGGGTAACTACAAGTTTATAATTGGAGTTATATTACCAATTCAAAGGTCCTGGGGACCCCTATATAACTTGACCCATAAATGTTCAGCGTATAGACGTTGGCCTGTATTAACGCTCTCAAACACCCACACACCCGCAAACACTCGGCCCCACGGTGACCCAAAGTTGATTGAATGTGTCATGGCCGGCAAATTGTTTAATTTTAAGCATTTGTTTGCGTTTACTGTGTTTTTTTTTTATTCTTTTTTTTTCCCCAAGACACTGGACTTTGGTTCCAGCAGCTGCCGTCTCGCTCGCACTTCCACCTGCAGTCCACGTGCTTCGCATTCGCTGCATCTCCCCATCTCGCTCACTCGCGCGTAAAGTGAGGCTTCGTTTTGCGCTGGCGTCGCGGCAACGGTTCTTTTCCAATTTGGCTGTGAAACAACGAAGAACGTTCTTCCGAGCAAACGAAGAATTCGCCAAGAGTGCAATTAAACGCGTGGAAGGCGGAAGAAAGGCGTTGCGAAGAACGTTCTTCCGAGCGAGCGAGAAGAGTTCGCAAAAGAGTGCAGTTAAAAGTGTAAAGCCGTGAGAAGAACGTTCTTTCGAGCGAATTCACTAAAAGTGCAATAAAAAAAGGGTGGAAAGTGAAAGAAAGTGTCGAGCGAGATAGAGATAAGCAAACCTTCTAATAATAGACTCCACTTATGGGATGGTCTAAAAATAAACAACCACAAACACCAGCAAACAATTAGAGAGAAAGAGCGAGTTAAACAGCTGTTTCGATTCTACGCTCCCCCACAGAAAGAGATAGAGATAAGGACGAACAGAGCGCGGTTAAGTGTGAGTATAAGAGCCTAGCGAGAGAGAAAGAGAGAGGAAGATCGCGGGAGATAGGAATATACGAGATACTCCCAAGAAAACGAAAACGCCAGCTTTACGTTTCAGCATCCAAGCGTCCAGCTTCCAAAAGCGTTTCCAATTCCAAGCCAGTCGCAACGTCAGCGGAATACCGCTACAATTCGCATTTTCAGCCGCCTGCTCTCTCACTCACTCACTCGCTCCTCCTTCTCCTGCGGTCCGACACATCTACCCGCACTCCTCTGTTCCTGCCACAATACGTCACGCGATGCAACAACAACTTGCGGGCGCAGCAGCAGCAGAAAACGCAGCAGCAGCAGCCGCAACAGCAGTCGAAAACGCAGCAGCCGCAGCAGAAGTTAACCACTTGTTCGATTGCCCGCACTCCAATAGCCAATCGATAGCAAAAGGACTCTAATCGATCTTCAATCGCCAAGCTCACGGATATTTATCGTTTCGGTTTTATTTTTTTTTTGCACGTACAAAAACCCTACAAAAATCCCCACAAAACCTTCAAACTCAAAACTAGACCCACCAAAAACAAAAAGAAAAAGGATAATTACCCCTTAATTTTAGTCGTTTTGTTTTGTTTTTTTTCGTCAATTAATTGTGATTTTGAAACTGTGTGATCGCAAAAAGAAATCTGCAAATTAGCTAAAAAGAAAGTTCCTTAAGCAAGTGATAATCCGATAGAAACTCTGAGGACAGAAAAAGAAAAGGGAGCACCCTGATATATACATACATATAAACACCCACAATATAAACGCTATATAACCAACGTATATTCAAGAACACATATATAACCAAAACCTCGATCGAAGACTACAAAGGAAACCCAAAAATACCGTCGAAACCCGGACATAACAGCATGCAAATGTAAGTAAAATATAATAATACGTTAAAAAACCTTGTCCAGACCCAGATTATTGTATAATATTTCCTTAACATCATAGATTTGGTCAAGTTCTTGAAAAATATGGCCAAAAAATAAGTTCAAAATTTAAGCGCAACATAGATTAATATATGATCCCAAGTAATGTTACAAACTTAAAAGTAAGTTCATCATTCATGGCTTATCAGGCTTGTTTTTCAATTAAATAAACCAGAGACTTTTAAAGAAAAACAATATATATTTTATTCATTGTTTTGCGCTCATTGTATGAGGTATCCCTCAAGATCTTTTATAAAAACAAAGCCACAGATTAAAATGTGCGCTGGGAAAATTAAAGCCCCTTCAAGGAGGTGGAAAAGTTTAATACAAACATCCCCCTTGAACTATCCTATCACAACTATAACGACAGCCTCAACCTCTTATCAAGATCGAAATAAAACTTGAGCCAAGATCGGTTCTTTCCAAGGAAAACAAAAAAAACTAACTAACCGAATGCCGAAATCAGCCAAGTGGTGTACGAGATCTATATATAGAATAGATCCCATGTATATCGCTGTGAAAACGAAAGCGACAGAAGTGGAAAAACATTGAACCACATACTATATATAGAGAGTGTGTGGTTGGAAACCGAGTTTCCAAAGGAGGAGAGGAGAGTCGTAAAGGCAAACAATAACAATAACAAAAACATGAGCCACATGGGGCATATGCCCCCACCATTGGCCCCTAGCACTACCCACTCACACTGACTTTCTGATTGTGTATAAAAAGAACAGAACTCATGTTCCAAATGATAAGTGGGGAGCCAGGCGAGGCAGGCAAATCGGTGGGTTATTTTTAAACACTGAAGTTTATGTAAATATATTTCCTGGCCAGCCCAGCCCAGACACAAACAATAACAGAATCAGAATCCGAATCGAATGGAAAATACAATAATATTTGAGCGCTGATAAGGGAGCCCAACCAAGAGATCCCAGACGCGTGTGCAAAGCGGAAGAGAAGGGGGGGGTTAAAAATGGGAGTTATCTCTCCGATTCCGAAGAATTGTGTCCTTACTGTAGTAGAAATGGTGGGAGTATATCGAATCAGATACTTAAATATCCACAGTTCAGAAGATTTGCTTGATAGGTCCTATTAGGCATATCATTAATGCTCTATATAACCCAAGTTTAACTTTGGTGGAAAAATATTACAGTATGAAACAATTCAAAACAATCTAATTCTTAAATGGTCTATAAAATACACTAAACAATCCAAATATTTTACAGATGATTCCCGAAGTGCCGACGTCCAGAATCCTGCTAGTCCTGGCCACTTTAGTCGCCGTGATGGCGCTGATCAGCAGTTGGGTGCCCCAAGTGGCGGGTAGTCCCATTGCACCCGCGGAATGGGGCAAAGAACAGAGGCGAAAGATGTGCTCCACCGAACTCAGTGATTTGATACAGGAGATATGCGCATCCCAGGGAACGGTGGCCCACGGCGATGGGAAACGCAGGAAGCGAGATGTGCAGAATGTCGCCGATCAATGTTGCAAGCAGGGTGGATGCACCTTCTGGGAGCTCATGCAGTTCTGCAAGGGATAATTTTATCCCATTAATAGGTGTTAACTAATCCACTGCACTCCACTTTACACCATCCCACTTACATCATTCGTAATCCTTAAGATAAAAAGAGCAAACAGCAGTCTCCCTTAGAGTACACTAAGTATATATATTACTAATTTAAACCATACACTAACTCAATTCTGTACAATAAAAGAAATTCAAATGAGCCAGACGTAACCATAAATGGGGTATACAAAAAAAGAAAAAAGGGTCCACAGCTTTGCTACATTTTATTCAGTTCTTGTTGAGATTGCTATGTACTTTTTAAAAAATAGATTCAGTCACTTAGTCAAAAGTCAAAAAGGTGCCATATGGCCCTAACACTTGTAAATACCGCTTATTAATGTAAAATTAGGACCACTTCAGTTCCTTCCTTGATCCACTTGCTAATTAGATTCACAACTATCAAATAACGCCTTAAAGTACCTTTCAAATTTTATTATTTCAATTTCCGCTACCGAATCCAGAACCAATTTTGGGAAACTTTCCGAGAAGAACTCAGGCAATCACCCCTCGAGCTTGGGCACACCCCCTTTCATTAGACTCGTCCATTGTTTGGCGTTATAAACCCACAAAGCGAAATCTATTCAAAGTGACACTCGACAAGATTGTCATGGGTTTGAGTTAGGATTTTAGGTTTTGGGTTTTAGGGCTCGAGTTTTTTAGGTCATACAATATGCGCACCCATATACACCCTTCGAACGGCCATTGGCCACCCCATTTAAATTGAATGCCGGGCGTAAAACTTTTGAAAAGGACACTCGCAAGCTGGACACTCCGAATATGGGGGTCAATTGATGATGATGAGATGACTGCAAATTAGATTACAAACGCTGACGATGATGATTTTAATGATGGTGCAAATCAGCCACACATGGGAGTACGAGTATCCCTTAACCCCGTTTCAACCGACTTACCCCGATTTACAAGCTTTAAATCTCTATGGAAACGAGAAAGGCCCTCAAATTTACTTTACTCATGCCCCTGCTTTTGAAAAAAAGACAAATCGAATATTTAGCACTTGATTCGGATGAATTCAAATGAAGTAAAGACACCCTCTACATTTTTAATTAGTTAAAAAACTTGCTAAGGGTAATCAAGCCAAAAAAACACATTTAAGAATTACTTGGCCTAATATAAAAAATATAAACGTTTATTAATCTGGAAATTCCAGTTAATTTTAGATTACTAGCGGCGCCACAAATTTAAGTTACAAATCTGTCTTCTGTTTACCGTAGTGAATTTAGAAATACTCGTAACATAGAACTGGGAAGATTTTGTGCACATAACCGGTATCGAAACTCTTCGGTTAATCAAAGTGTACGAGTCCCATTTGTAAAATTCGCTATTACGTCAACAATTTTGATTTAAATTTTGATTTTCAATTCTTCATTATGTCATTCAACGTTTGATGTAGAACCTCCGATAGTACAGGGCTCGGCTTATAAAACCTTTTTCGGGCCGCGCCGTCAATTTGTTTTCGATTTTTGGAATCGATGGATCGTCCAGCTTAAGATCACGTATACCATTCAAACCAACGTTTTGATCATCGCACTTTATTTTCTTGGATGTTGGGACTTCATTGGCTTCGGATGGGTTTTTCTTGGACGACATAATGGGTAAATGTTTCTTGGCGGTCTGTGAAGAAAATTACAATTTATTTTCGAATTCAAAACCGTTTTAAAATGTGTCCAATTAAAAAAAGCGCGAATTCTTAACGTTGCTTATCATCGTAAACTCGATTATATCACGAATTTGGAAATATTTTTGTGAATATCCCAAAATAACTCACCTCAATCCAGGACAGGGACCATCTGGCTTTATCTATGGAGGGAAAATTCAAGCGCAGGACTCTCCCCATATCACGGAGTTGACCCATCCACTGACTTACTTTAGCTTTGGCCATAATACAATGATTTTATATAATGTGATAAAACTGAAAAACAAAAAAGAAATTTAAAAATTTTGGAGGAAAAAAATAAATGTTTTTCTTACTACAAGTATATGCGTACGGGTTGCGAACATAAATGTAACTGAGCTAAAAAGGTCTGGGGCTAGGCAACTGGACTTTGACAGATGGATATGTTGAGTCCATGGACTACTTGTTTTTAGAAATTTACAAATTCCAAACCTATTTATTTCAGGTTGCTTCGATTAAAAGGAAAACGGGAATTCGAACCAAATGCATATGGGAGTGAAATGAATACTTCAGGCCTTGTCTAAAATGCTTAATATCTTCAGAATGTGCTTTTATCAAAGTATTCTATTGGGAAAGATATGCGATATTTTTGAAAATCATTACTGATACTTGGTAGCAAATTGAAACGGAGTAAAATTCTTTACCCAGTGGACACTCAACGGACACGTGTGGTGGAAAATGTGGGTGAGAGGTGGATGACAACGTCTGGAAAACGAAAGGGCAGGATGTGGAGGTGGAGGTGGAGAGGCACAAGGAGGATAAACGACACCAGACAAACTTCGCCGGCTTTAGGTTTGAAGTTCCGGGTTCACCATACCATACCATTCCATACCATTCCATACCAGGCCAAACCAAACCAAACCAAACCATCCCCATGCCCACTGCTCGACATTGATGGAGCGAAGCCATGGAACATTAGCTAAATCTTACAGAAAATTTCGCACTGCAGGGGGAAAACGGAGGGCGCAGGGTCCAGGGGTCTCAACCTCCCAAAAAACCCACTCCATCTCCATCCGCCCCTTCACGGGGTTGCAAAGGAAAACATAGCTCAAAGGGTCGCCATACAGAGAAAAAATTGTCGTATAATAAACTGCTATAAATATGCTTAGGTTCGTAGGTAATAAACTACCAGCTTAATTTTTGTAATAATATTACAAAGTCCTTACAAAATGTTACTAACCCGAAAATACTTAAGTTTAGATTAAATATTACAATAGATTTACAAGGTGGCCCACCATAATGATCCGTACTCTGCTGATTTTCTTGAAATCCATTGACATATGTAGGTTACACTGATATTACATATGATATAAATGAAATATTATGCATTTTTGATAGATTTTCTCTCTCTGCAGGGATGCGATGGTCGGAGATGGGTAGTGTCAACAGAAGTCGTATAGGGACACGTTCAACCCCAGAAGGGAACGCCGAACGAAAAGTACAGGAAAATCCCAGTCATCCAGGCAAGAGTTGCGAACTTTGCTTTGGCCCAACGATGGTCCTGTTCAGTTTAGTATTATTTTTTTTTTCTTTACCAGAATGCTTTCCTATTTCTACATTTAGTTCACCCAAAAAGCCTAAGGAATGTAATGAACCAAAAAAGGAAATTCATCTGGGAGCTTAATGTACCAAAATATTAAACTAAAAGGTAGACAATACAAATTGGTTGAATAAACAATGTATGGATTAATAGAAGGTACGCATTAAAGCAAATGAAAATGGTTTAGTTATAACTAAGAATACCTTATAATCCAACTATAAACCAAAACGTATTTATTTATCAATTTAAGTGGCACAACTTTTTTTATGACATCTTATGGGAGTTCCTATTTTTCGCGGGACATAAAGTTCCAGGGAATACAGACGATGCCATCGGTGGGCACCGACCAATAGTTGGTAATGTGTAGACTAAGACCTCGGCAGGACTTGACGCCACTTTGGAGTAAATGCCGCAGGGCCTGGACCATTTTGTCCGGGGTCACGGAATCGTCCTTGCTGAGTCGTTGCAAACCAAGTTCCTCCTGGCATTGCCGCCACAACTGTCGTTCCACCTGGATGTCCCGGCGATAGCGACTGAATCGGCCACTTGCCACATCCAAATTCCGGCAAATGAACTCCACAAGTTGGGGGCCCGAACATGAGGCTGGTGCCAGGAAAAGACCAGTTTGACTGACCTTCGGTGCATCGCTGTCCGGCACAATGGCCAACTGATGATCCTGCAGCGATGCCGGCAGCTCTTGGACACTCTCCTCCAGCTTCAAATGCTCGCTGACCGCCCGGATGACCCGCTTCAAGCTGCCCGCATAGGCACGGGCCTCACATCCCGGCTCCGGAACCTTACGCCTCTCAATCCGGATCCCGAGCAGCACGGCGGACAGGGCTTTCTCGAACAACGGAACCAACTTTAATTGCTCCTCGTGCAAACGCATCTCGGCAAGAAAAGCCAGCCAACCCAGGGGGGAATCACCGGAGAAGAGCATCACATCACCCTCCAAACTAATTCCAGTGTACGGGGCAAAGACCACAAATCGATTTCGCAGTGCTCCCAGCTGACTGGTGACTTTACGATCCTCCGACAACTCCTGAAGATTCCGAAGGCAATGGTAATAGCGCTCCATGTTGCAGCCGCAATCGTAACGGGTTCCACGAATGCCCAGCAATTGGACCAGTGATCCTTCTAGAGCCTCGATTTTGGTGCGAAGAGAGGTGACCTCAAAGGTCTGGAAACGAGCCAGGGCCTGACGCATCCAGGTGTCCAGGGAGTGCTCCCCTTGGGTGTCCTTAAAGAGGCTGTCCTTCAGGGCGCTGAAGTTTTTTTGAACTGCCGCTGGCGCCTGGGGCGGTCTTACTTTCTCCCTGACCGGCTTTAATTCTTCCTTTCTCAGCACTTTTTCCAACTCCTTTTCCATCTCATGTTCTTGTCGCTGAAATTAAAAAAAGATAGACAGGGATATTAGGAAAAACCAAATGACTAGGATCACTCATAAACGTGGCTAAAAGTATGCAACAAAATATTTTTGTACTTTTTTTCATTGCATACTTTTGGACAGTTGTAAGTGGTTTCAAATATGGTATTCCGATCAAGACTATAATTTACACATTTTAATATTAAATCTTTTTAGTAAGTTGCTTAATAGTTGGAACTTACCTGCTCAACCTGGTTATGTTCCTTCTCCTTGGGCAGCAGTTTACAGGACCTCAGGATATTCCTTATCACCGCCCTGGGGTCCAACAGACTCCGATCCACCTGCACTCTAACCAAACGGCTTACCACCTGCCCACCGGTCTCATCCGAACTCGAGGGCATGTAGAACTCCAGTTGACCATCGGGCGGAAGACAACTTCCGGGTGACGACGTTCCAGTCAAGGACTCCAAATGGGAGCTGAGCAGCCGCAGTGACTCCTCGTTAACCCGCTTCTCTGCCGGACTGTGAGCCAGGCGATCCGTCTGAATGGCCTGGTAAAACGGACGTAGAGCTGTGACCAAATCCGTGCTCAGGAGTCGTCGACAACACTCGACAATCCTCCGGCGACCCAAGAAGCGCAGTGTGGCCATCTTTAGTGCTGCCAGATCGTTTGAATTTTGAAAATTACAAAAAAATGTGATATTCCCAGTTGATGCTGACAAATTTTGCAATGATTCCCGACTGTCATAAAGATAAAAAACAATCGATTCTATCAAATAATGTTAATATTGCCACATTTATCGTTTAAAGCGATTAAAAGTTTGAGAAATCAGCAAACAATTCATTTAAAATTTACAGCTAGTAAATAAGTTTGGCAAAATAAACACAAATGTTACACCTTTGTTGTAATACCAATTGACGTTGCTTTTTAATAAAACATGAATTGTAGGTTGCCCTACGGTTACCCATGTGTGAACCAAAACGAGAAAAGGAATATTGAGGCAATCCCAGAGGCCGCATAAAATACTCCCTCCTCCTCCAGGAGCAAATAAAACTTTAGCACACAAAACACGCACATAAAAAAACGTCGCACGTTAACCCTTTAAACCCGGTACTTGTTAAGTCTAGAGTTATGTTTTTTCTTCCCTCGCACATTCCTTTTGTCATGCATTATGCTACATATGTGGCCAAAGGGATAAATATGGCCATTTCTGAAGCCCTGGCAAGACAACAAATTATGCAAGTCAGAAACAGCAAAGACCATCTGCTAAGCTAAGACATATCATTTTATTTTTAAAAATGTCTTTAAAGGATGTCTATCGGATTGCAAAGGAGCAACATCAAGCGGCATTACGATCGGCTCCATCCCGACATAGTCCTCCAGCGACCGCCACAACCCCTACAAAAACCAAAGTCTCCGAGGCCCCAAAGCGAGACCTTAAGTAAGTCCTCAATGCAAATATAAAAAATATCAAGATAAACATACAATACATAACAAAATACTTAATTGCATAATGTTAAATTGATAGTGGAAAATGCAATTCTTCAAGGAGAGAAAGAAGAACGAGAAAAATTATACATACAAGGTGCTCGAGAAATCACTCCAGCGCTAAGTCGTGAAACTCACCCCATTCAGCGTTCTTTGATTTCTGTGGCACCCCAATAATATAAATATCAACTTAATTAGGTTTTGTAGCGTATATTTTTATAAAAATACACAAATCATTATAATATAGGTAATCAAAAATGTACGAGGCTTTAAAAAACCTTGTCAGCGGGGTTCTTTTACTGGAACTCTATAAAAGACAGTAAAACTCAAATTCACCACGATTATTCAAAAATTTTTTAAGTGGAATTTTTCACCAATGACTTTTAGTCGTTATTAATTTCTAAAAACAAATTTTGTACAGACATTTTAAGTTCCAGTAGAAACCCGTTAAAGAAAATCAATTAAAAAAAAACTAATTTTCTGTTATAACTTGCCTATTGGCGTGTACAGTCGTACTTCTTATACTCAAGCTTTATAAAAATAGTACAGGCTGAGAGATTTTACCTGTTGTGAAAACGTTTTTTCTTGAATATTACTCGAAACATTTTTTTTTTTAAAAGGTTAAGTGACAAGAACATTAAATTCTTGATAAACACAGATCAAAATTGTAATAACTTTGTAGACATGTTTGACTGTAGCTAAAACGACCCACAGACCAAAAGACCGACCGCCACTCAAAGCGCAAATAACAAGGGTAAAATATTGCATCTCCAGCAGCTGCGAACACGCACTGGGCCCCTCTCTTTCTCGCACTCTACATACCTCTCTTTCCATCGCACTAAGCCCGTCTCTTTCTACCATCACACTGCAGTTGAAAATTACTTTTTGCATGTGTTTTTCAGTTTCTTTCTGTTTGTGTTTTTCCCCATTTTGTTTGCTGCCCCGTTTCCATCGCTTGCTTTTTCACACATGCCACTTATTAACCTCAGAGTGGCGATGAGTACAGAAAATATTTATTTAAAATATAAAAATGTGCCACTACTTGTTATTCATTATTCAGACTGACCCACCCATCTCGGTCTTTCACATGATCTATTCAAATTCGATTTTGGAAATTCTGGTTAAATTCTCTATTTATTTGCATTTATAGGGATTGGTCACTCCGACATATCAGTTGGTTCAAACTACAGATAAAAAAAACATCATGGTCAATTTGATATTCACAGGATAATTTATATATACATATGAATACACAATACAATATACAAAGTTGATCCGAAATTTTATAAGATCAATCCTGATATCTAATAATAGTTTTAAGCGAAACTTATTAAGAACCAGAATGCCTTTATAAGCCGGATAGATTCCCACTTTCAGATACCAAAATGGGACGTCCCCAGATGGTGGACACCGGCAAGTTGTGCGAAGTGCTAGCCGATGGAAAGAGATGCCGCTGCAAGCTTTGCGAAAAAGTGTTAGCCCATCGGTCGGGAAATGTGAGGCGCCACTATAGTATTTACCACCCTCACATCATCGTCCAACTGGCGCCCAAACGTTGGGTCATCGCCGAGGACAAGCTCATTCCCAATCGCCAACGGCTGAACAATCCGGTAAGTAGTATATGCATACATATTTCACGGTTTATTAGCACTAACCGAAACGTCACTAATCGAAACAAAAGCGAGTCACACATGGGGGCTGAATACTAGAAATGAGGGAGCAACACTAAAAATTTAAATATTACAATTACTGTATCCAAATGAAGGCTTTTGGTATATCACCAATTAAACTGGATTGAGCGGAATCATTAACATACTATCTTTCTGTATTGTTTTTATATCCAGAACAATCCCACTGAGTGACATACGACTGAGGTAAAAATTTAAAGGTTTATGTAGCTGGTAATGTCTTAACAACATCTTAAGACATACATCTGCAGTGAGCAGATATCATGATGTTCTGAGTTATAAACGGCTCAGCAAGGGATGACCCTCAGGTGTTGAACCGCATCCGAAACGTAACGAAAAAAATACAATAGCAACAGGCCCGACGGTAAAACCGAAACCAAAGACACGCCGAAACCGTTTTAAACCGGTTCAGTTCAGCATAACGTGGTGTGCCGCTTTCTGTGGTGGTTCGTGTTCCGCTCTCTGAACCGCTCCTCTCAGAGCTGAACCGCTCTCTTCCTCTCTGGTTCACAGAACGGTTTCTTAAATTTTTTTTGCAGTCTGGTCAGGCGAATTCAATTTAGTCAACGAACGTCACTCAAGTACGTCGCATCGCAAATCAAAAAAAAACCGATAGAATGTCAAAAAGGTACCCGAATCCAGTGTCGAAATACTTCATATATTACGAAAAGACGCGGAAGAGCACCTGCAAGGCATGCAACTTCGACATGGCAGGTCGTCACTCCGAGAATCTGATGAGACACCTCAAACGCAAGCACAAGGATGTCTACAATTCTGTGGTGGCCGAAAAACAGGCCATCCTGGTCCGTCGCCAGCAGCAGGCAAAAAAGGGCGAAGTAGACCCGAAAGATCATGTTCTGGCCTCCATGTTCCACTTTCCATCGGAACCCAAAAAAATTCTCATCACTAAGGTACACCACATCTCTTTGACAAAGCTAAGAAGGGTACATAGGATAAAACATCCTATTTTATATTATTTTTAAGATAACTATCGAAAACCAAACTATATTATTTATTCTAACTATCTTCCAGGATGCCTCTCAGTTGCCGACCAATAGTAGCATGGAAACCACAGATATGGTGGATGATGAAGAGACCGGCGATGGAGATAACGAGGACAACGCATCCGGCAGTCAATTCGATGGGATCTTTATTGGGAAATCGGAGCTGCCCGATGAGGTTAATCAATTGGACAACTCAGGGGACGTCGAACTGGAAACAGTGGCTGCATCTATAGCCAAACCTTTGACATCCTTGAAGGCAACTACCCCCAGTTTGGCCACCAGTTCCACTCCTACTCCTGCTCCTGTTGCTGCTCGTGCATCCTCATCGAACTGCCCATTGGATGGTGATGATGCCTTTTACCTTCAATATCTGGGCAACAAATTGAGCAAATACTCGTCCCGCACCAAGAACACAGTCCAGTTCCAAATCAATCGCATTCTGTACAAGGCCGATATGGGACACTACGAGGAATCAAGCCCTCCCTGCGATTCCGACTCCTTTTAGGAGTTCACTTGGCGTATGTGTTATTAAGTTCTAAACTAAGGTTGTTACTTTTTGCATAGCAATCAAATAAATCATTATCCCACGAGTTGTAAAACATGGCTAAGACTTGCTTTGATTGGTTTTTGGTAACAACTAAATGTTTTAATTATCATAACTCCAATCAGGTAATGTTACATTAGTGGTAGTAGTATATGAAGAGGGTAGCTTATGAAATGTTTCGTTATCCATAACTACTTTAAGATTTTAAAGTGTTCTTAAAAGCGGACGTTTAAATTTGAATTACTTCTTATTGCTGTTCCAATAATATTTAGTTTTCTCTATCTTTTTCCCTGACCCGTATAAGTTTATCCTTTTTTTTGCATTTGACTCGTAATTCCACGGGGGGTATTTATTACCTGCCAAAGCAAAAGGCATTAAAATGTCCACAAATCAGGTCACTTACCCCCTTGAGTTTCCTACCTAACAACATGGAGAACATTCGGGCAAATCAGATCGTTGGCCCCTCGTTTCATTTTTTTTTGTTTACTGGATAAGAAATCGGGGGGGGGGGCTTTGGGGCAAGTTCAGTACCCGCACAGGGTCAACATCTTTGGAATCCCTCGTTGGGAGGGTAAAAAGTGCGTAGAGCTGGGATTTTCGCTTTCCACTCTTGTGGAAAGTTTCCTTTTTTTTTCGTGTCTCATTTTCCCCGAGAGCAGATATATATGTATTTTATGTTTGGGTTTTTGTGCTCTTTAAAGCGACAGAAAGAGCAGCAAAAACTCTTCGCTGTGTGTGGGTCTGTCTGTATCTGTATCTGTGTATCTGTATCTGTGTCTGTGTGCCGGCTGACCGGCTTTGTTTGTATCTCTATCTCTCTTCCTGTAGAAACTTGCAAACGAAACCTGCAACGTCTGTTCCCAACGAAGTCCCTCCTTTTGCCACAGTCCCTTCATCCGTCTGTGTCATACAGTCTGTTCATATAGGGGCGCCCTGTGTACTTGTAATCCTCCCCAACTCCACCTCTCTCGATTATATATCGCTTCAACCCCCGTCCACCGACCACCGACCTCATGGCAATTCGATTTATGTGTAGGCTATGCGTTCCGCGTCCTTTTGGCGTGTTATTAAAGGTTCATTACTAAATACCAACGAACTTTTGTAACTCGATGAACCATCTGCCGCAAGTACTGGATATGTATTGATTGAAAAAGAACAAACCTGAATTTGTAGTATTAATTTTTAAATTCCATTAAGACAGTACATTAACTACCTTTCAACTAAAATACTAGATTATCTCTGGCCAGAAAACAATTAATTTCTATTAAATATTAAACTTCTCAAGCAGTCCTCCACTAAAACGCAAAAAGGAAGCCCCGAAAGTTGTAAAGAAAGTTTGTGTTATGGGGATGAAATTGTGTGAAGTTTGGTCGCTAAACTCTAATGCCACTCAATTATGTTTAAGTTACTTAAGATTTGAGTTAAGCGAAGTGCGAGACAAAAAAAGTTTGCTACCTCAAGGAAAGAAGAATCACCTTAAAGGTAAGACAGATGAAAAGCGTATCCCTACACATTGTTTATTCGCTTTCCAGTTGTTTTTCTTTAAAAAACCCACTTTCTTAAATCATTTAAGTTAAATGTGAAAAAAAGTAAGGATCCTTTGATTAGCTTAGGGAATTCCGTTCAGGAATTAATTACATTTCAAGCAGATATTTTTCAAATTGAAATGTGTTTGCCACATGTGGGGGCGTGTCACTGATAAGGCGTTCGTTTTCAGGACCCCGGGGAAAAGTTGAGATTTCATCGGATGAATGATGATGCCTATGCCTGTATGGCTATAAGATAAGAAAATGGCAAAAGGAATCCGAGCCTAAAGGGACCAAAAAAGCGGGATGGTCAACCATATTGTGTATGGAACGTGGAAATGGACAACAATAAAGCCTCATTTTCCACCACCTCCAGTTGGTCGAGTGTCACATTTCTGATTCATCACTCTAAAGTAGTAAATTTCTATATTTTATAGCTCTTTGCCTTGCTAGCACCTCTAATTTTAATAAGCAAAAGCTCCAAAAATAATATTAACAACAAGTTGATCGATTCAGGATAAAGTTTCCCCAAAGAGTCAACCGAAAAAAGGCTAAAAAAACGCCCACAGAAAATAATTAGAGGACTTTTGCCATTGTAACCTTAAGGCCCCAACTGTTTACCCAGCTCCAACCCCTTTTGTTCTTTCACCCAAACAGCAAAATATAGAGTGAGCGACCAAACACCCCCGCCAAAATGTCAAATACCGAATACCAAATCGACATCCCTATCCACATCCTCCAGAGATGTGGGATGTGGAATGTGGGATGTGCTCCTCCAACCGCCAGACGGATAAGTAAACAAATTCAGCTTTATCTTCAATAGGAAACAAGGAAAACAGAGTTCTCCCGTTGAGGTTCGCCTTTGATATTTAACAATCTTTGAACAGCTGAAAGATGAGAACAAAAACACCAACCTCGCCATAGATACACACATATGCCGCACACACACAGAGGTATGGGTACACACAGATATATATATATATTTATATGTATGTGATGTTTGCAGACAAAGGCCAACAACAAGTTGCCATGGGAGTTGCCACCAAAATCTTTCGTTCGCACTCAAGGCAGCATAAACAAAAACAACAACAACATCAAGAAGCGCAACAAGAAGCCAAGGAATAGCTATAAAACCAACAACAGTAACGGGTGTACCAAGACCAGATGAAGTACAGTGAATACTGCCTCGTTGGTGGCACACACCAATAAAAAAAGATACAAAATTATATTAATTTTTGTTGGAATACCATATCAATTTGGTATTGATATCCGAAGAGAGAAGTAATTCAATTTTCAATAGCATTATATTACCATAATATTACATTGTAAATATTATAGGTGTTTATAAATATTAATATGTCTTTTGAATATTAAATTGATCCCTACATTTTTTTTACAAAATATACAACTTATATGGGTTATATGGATTATATTGACCAACTATAATAGTAGTGACGTGTATTTTAATGTTGCTCTGGTAACTATTTAATAGTAAAACTACCATAAAATGGTAAGTTGTGTGTATTTTGTTTTTGGGAGAGTAACTATTTCGTTGGTCAAATTTATAGGTTAGGAACATTTTACTATAATGTTGGTAAATTTTATCTAAAAGTTAATAAAAGTAACTTTTATCCAAAACTTTAAGGATACAAATATACTTTCCCAAACCCTCAGCTATAGAATTCATAACATAAGATTTCTTAGTTGAAAAATATAAAGTTATAGAGCCCCCTATAAGCAATCTCCACTGTATTTCAGCCCAAAGAAGATAACGTTTAACAAGAACACCAGTAGAATGAAAGTAAAGAGCAAGTAGAAGGAGCAACAGGGAATAAAAAAAATATAAGTGAAACAGTAACATCCTGAAGGAAGAGAGCTCACATATGCGACAAGGCTAATCCCAATAATCTTTTAGTTTTCACAAAAATAACAAGATATAACATTTTGCCATTTCTCTTGTCTTTGCCCCCCTGATATCGCGCTGATTGATTCCATGAAATGGGGGGGGGAGGTTTGCTTGGGAGTTATGCAAACTAGGCACAAAACCCTAAAACACATGTATGGGGGGGGGGGATGGGATGGTATAGGGATGGTATAGAA